GAAATAATCCTTCTCTCTCTCATTATACAGGTATTCCACTAAGACGCCCACATTCATCAGGATTCATCATGGCAACCAAGCCGTCGGAGCCAAATAAATTCATCGGATTGAAGAAAACCATCGCATCGCTTCACAAGAACGTAGCATTTCTGAAGAAATGCCAAAAATATAAGGTTATACCTATAAGCCATAGGATTAAGGTACGGACACCCACCCCACCCACCGTAGTAAAGATGATGGAAGCAGAGTTCATCAAAGATAGCATCAGACGGCTATATAGCAAACTGGACATGAAGGTTTTGGAATGTTATTATCTACATCTCAAATTGGCCAAGGAGTATCCAATTAAATTCCAGGAGTTTCTGTCTAGGGCCAAGGTAGCAGAGGAGTGCGAATCGGATAGGAAGCGGAAGCTGCAGGATGGGAAGCTAAACAGACTACGACAGGAGTCTCAACGGAGACGGACGACACACCGAACGGGTGAGCAGATCCCATCAACCATCACCACGACGCCGAGGGTTCACTCCATTGATGGGTTGGTTGTCAACCGATCGACGACCGCATTCACGGCAGAACAATTGACACACCTCAACAAGGGGCTAGGATACGCGGTTACAACCAAGCCAGACGTGGAGCAGATCATCATTGACGTAGAAACAGCGATTACCAAGACGCTTCCAACAACATCACAGAATACGGTTAGGACTATCACATCGAACATAATCAAGGACGGACAGGAACAAAGTCGCGCCAACGAAAAAGAAATTCGGATTGTAAAGGAGCTAAAAAGTAAAGCAGTATACTACGTGAAGGCAGACAAGGGAAACGCGGTCGTTATCATGGACAAGGACGATTACGATAATCAGATGACAACGAAGATTAACAACGGACCGTATAGACAGCTTCGAGTAGACCCCTTACAGAACATAGTGAAACGCGTGGAGAAAGCACTGAAGGAGTGCAAATCGATATTATGAGATGGAGCAGGTCGTTTACGGGAACCCAATCCCATTCTACTCAGGATCAAAGGTCTCCCCAAAGTCCACAAACCAGGAAATGAAATGCGAGAGATCGTGTCTGCAGTTGGTTCCCCCACCCACAAACTAGCAAAGTGGCTAGTCAAAGAGTTCCAGAGTATGCCGAATCAGTTCTAGAGTAAAGCAGTTAGTAACACCCAGGAGTTCGCCCAGCAACTACAATCTTCAGGAGACATCAACGAGGACGAGATTATGATTACGTTACAGCTCTTTTTCCCAGCGTACCGGTCAAGGAAGCGATCAACCATTTGGAGGACTGGCTATTAACACAACGAGAGGATGCAGCATGGAGAAACAAGGTTCGGACGTACCTTAAGCTGACCCGCCTTTGTATGGAAGAGAACTACTTCTCTTTCCGAGGTAACTTCTACAAGCAGACGAAAGGAGCCCCAATGGGAAACCCCCTATCCCCCTTCTTGTGTGAACTTTTCATGGCCAACTTAGAGACAATCCTGAAGGAGAAAGGACTATTACCAAACCGTTGGTGGAGGTTTGTTGACGATATCTTCAGCGTAGTTAAACGGGAAGCCCTTCCACAAATTTTAGATGAGATCAACAGAATTCACAAGGATATCAAATTCACTCACGAGGTAGAAAAAGACGGGAAACTTGCATTTCTCGATCTTCTAGTCATCAGGGAATCGTCATCATCTTCCTCGCTTGAATACGAAATTTACAGGAAACCAACAAGCACCAAAAAAGTTATCCCCTATACTTCCAACCATTCATTCCAGCAGAAAATGGCCGCCTTTCACCACATGATTCATCGAATGTAGACTCTTCCACTCAGCGATACAGGAAAGGTTAAAGAATTACAGTACATCTTCGAAACAGCAAGACTCAACGGATACAAGGAGACCACATTCCAGGCAATCATCGATAAAAAAGCGAGAATAATACAAAGGAGATTATTTACAACCCTCACTGCAGCACCTGAACCATTGAAACGAGTGTCCGTTCCATTTGATCAAGATATTACTTGTAAACTAAGACCACAGTTAAAACAATTCGGATTAGATTTAGTTTTCACCAGTAGACATAACCAGTTGAAATCATTTTTAGGATCCACTAAAGACCCAGTTAATGTTTTAGTTAAAGCAGGTGTATATAAAATAGGCTGTAATCATTGTAACAAAGTATATGTAGGACAAACCAAGAGAACTTTAGCAACTAGATTTAAAGAACATATAGCGGAGGTTAATAAGGCCAAAAAGCAAGAGGAAAAAGGCCTAACATACGATTTCAAATCAAAGGTTGCAGAACACATCTTCACAGAGGACCACCAACTATCGACGGAGGACATCACGATTTTACGAACCGTATCTACACCATGGAAATTGGATGTTGCAGAAAGCCTCGAGATCAACAAACAACGTAATTCAACTTTACTCAACAGGGATCAAGGAAACGGACACACATGGTTTTTCAAGTTACTACCTAGGACACATCAACGAGTAAGCAGTTTCTGTCAATGATAAGCAAATAAAGTAGTGGAATTAAATGGAAAATACTAATCCTTCTCTCTCTCTCTCATTATACAGGTATTCCACTAAGAACCCCACATTCATCAGGAATAAGAACGTATTTTTCAGTGGTTTGCTTCCTGATGAGGGTCAATTTTTCCTTGGATTCTAAAAAAAACATTTCTTCTATCTCATCATAAATAAAATTTGGACTCTACATAAAACATAATGCTCTATTTTTTAGGTATTTTATGTCCACATTTATGTCATGATAACATAGAAAAAAAATGTTTACACCTAAATTGTCTTTAGAAAAAAATGCTTTCCGTTAAGGTGGGAAATACCCAGATAAAAAAATCCTCAAAATGGGAGGTATGTATGTGTATAACATTTCAAGCATTATTCTTGCTTCCTACTTGAAATAGGGACTCCCAATTGCTGAATACGGTTCTTCGCCCTATTTTATAATGTTCCACCTAAGCGTTCCAATTTTATCATTTAATTCAACGAGGCAACTTTAATTGATTAGTTTTCCATATTGGTTTCTGCTACACTTAGATTATTCGATGACAATAGGTGATTGGCCTAATATGCCGTGATAGAGCTGCTATCTTGGCTGTATATTCAGGGGATAAGCATTTCTTATTCAGCCGCTGCCACTCCATGGTGGACAGACGCTTGAGTTAGCGAAAGATTTACTCTATCGCCGTTCTATGGTTACCGTGCTAACTCCTCTCTTTGCATTGCCCAGCTGAGTCCATGTCTAAGCTTCTAGTAGGGCGTGAGATAGGAACTTGCGAAGACCGGAGCTAATAGGTATCACGTCCCTTCCAGGCGTCAACTCGCCATTTTGTGCCCCACCTTAACCGATAGATGATCGGCTTTTGAGGATAATGAGTCGCCATCTGTACGCAACAGGATCGCGGAAATTGGTCGACAAACTTCTACCTCAACTTTCAACCAGGTCACAGCAGCAAAAGTAAAAAAAGAGAAACTATTACGAAACTGTGCACACACAGATCAATTATAGAAATCGAAAGCAGTGAGACGCCGAGTATCATTCAATTTGCCGCTTCGAAACTCACTCGAGTGAATCGTGACCATTAATTGCGCTTCGCACGGGGGTTGGCCGTGGAATGAAGATGCAGAGGGTCTCGGATGGGACGGAGTAGCTCCGAAATCTAGAACGCACAACCGTACCCGCGTGTGCAATTAGCACTTTAAACAGTTAATTTATCAAACCAATCAACAATACAAAAAACAGCAATAAAATACAGACCCGCAAAGCAGCACTATAGTCTTATCTGATCTTGTTTGTCGATTGGGTGAGCACATAAAGTGTGCCCCCACTCTGACTATCGAATGCTACTGAATTGGGCGCGTGGAGGTAAGGAAGCAGAAAAAACACATCACAACAAGAGCAATATATAATTCCTGACTATACTAAAACTTTACGCGAGAGCCTGCCGTAGCAGATTGGCCCAATCATACGGACAACAAGCAAAACAGAAGAGATCCATCCCCCCCCCTTCCGACCAGCCAGCAGGGGGGAAGTTTACTAGGTCGGATCGATTAGAGAAGGCAGATAACAGCTCTCTGGAGCATAACCCAGTGGCAAAATATCGTATTGTAAGTTTTTGTATTGTTATGGACATAGTCAACAGGCAGGCAGAAACCTACTCCGACTATTTTGCACTGCTGGCTGCTGGAAGAAACCGATACAACTATGTAATAGGCACACAATGCAATATTGGCGCAGACCACCAGTTTTGCACTAGGGATCAGCTCTGTTCAGCTTGGAACATTTAATTCAAATCCCCTCTCCCCCTTGCTTCTAACAACTTCCGTAACACGGTGCAGACAGATCGAACACACCCACGATTTTCACAGCTGATACTTGTGCTGCCGCCGGTAGCTGCATATTCTCTGATTCGCATTCTGTTTTATGCATTTGTGAATCAATGCAGTAGTGGTGTGGGTGAAATGGGGTGCATTAAATTCCCCCGGGAAATTGTTTATTGGGGTGGAAGGAGGCGTTGGCGTGGAAGGGAAGACTGGTGTAATAAATCGCAAGCATTTTGTATAATGGATTAAGTTAACATGTTGATTCTAGACCCACGTTAAACTTTCATGCTTGAAAAGGGCAATTCAGTCCAGTGAGTCCAGTGGCGAAGCTAGAAAACTTATCGACGGGGAGAAGGGGATGTATTCCTGTTTATTCTATTAAATCATGTTTCACTTTCCCACATTTCCAGAGTACTGAAACAGGTCTATCGATTATCCAATGCCCTCGTTTAGCAATATAAACTCGTTCAGATTTATAGACGGTTAATCTATGTTATTAATCTATCGTCTGCTCATTAGTAAAAACACCAGCCGCATATGTTGATTTACTACCTACTTGATCACGACAAAACAAACCCTATACCCAAACACACAACGAAAAGTTAGCTAACATCCTCTCTCCCTCTCTCTCTCTCTATCTCCGTTCCCATTTCAGGTCTCAAGAAATTCCTCTCACAGTACCCGGCGCTGTTCGAAATCAACGGCGATTTTGTGCACATCAACAGCTACACATCGAGCAGCGTGGACGATTCTTCGATCTCGGGCAAGCGGGACTACATCCAGGAGGCGAAGGACTACTTCAAACACAAACTGCTGCAGTATGGCAAGGGCACCGAGGTGCCGATCCGCAGTCTCTTGGGACACCGGAGCCAGGCATCGCCCCAGGTGCGACACATATCCGGTCAGCACATCCGGGAATTTACGGAATTCCTGGTGAAACACCCGGACACCTTCAACGTGGTGGACGGCGAGAATGTCGTCCTGGTCGGGTGCGAAAACGAAGAAGACGTCCCCGCGTCGGAACGATTGCATTTGCCAAACTCTTCCATCGACACACAGGCCACCCAGCAGCTGCTGGACTCGTTTGCTCAAGTGATAGAAATCAAGGGCCCCATCATTGTCGATCAGCTCTTCCACATGGTAACGTCCAACTTCCCCCAGGAACAGTGGTTTCACATGTTCAAAAACCCGGGCGATCTGAAAACGTTTCTGAAGCTCTTCTCCGACTGCTTCCAAATTCAATCCAATCTAGTCACGCTACTGCAGAAGCCAAAGCTGTCCGATTCGCACATTAGGCAGGCGCAGGATAAGCTCAATCTGTCCAACAGCACCTTCAACACCACACCGAGCGTCGGCAGCGCTGGCAGTGCTGTGGGCAGTGCCAACGGTAGCAACAACACCAGTCGGACAGCCTCTCCCAAGAACATGATCGGAGATTTTAAACTTAACGAACCGGTCTCGGTCGGAATCGGTTCTAACAATCCGACCACCGCACTGAGCAGTAGTAAAAGCGAACCCACTAGTGGCTTCGATAGTTTACTAATCAATAACGATTTTAAAATGGAGAACCTCTGTCTTAAAAACTGCCCCTCGTCGTCCAATTCCGCCTACTCAAAAACCCAACAGACCATCTCGGCGGCCCAGCACCAACCAATCCAAATAATGAGACAAGAACCGAACAACCCGGCTACCAACGACAAAGCCAACCTCATCAACAACAACAACAACAACAACAATCCGGCTGTGAATCCGAAAAATCAAACCCTTAAGCAACGTATAAACAGTTTGGTGATCAAAACGCTCGCCGAAAACCTAGAAAAAGATAAGCAATCAATGTCTGCCATTCAACATCAAACGTATTACAGCATGGGCGTCGGCCCCGGAGGAGGAATGAGTGGTGCCCAGCCAAACAACAACCCATCGCCACATCCCGTCTCCCCCACACCAACCAGTCCGGTCCACTCGAATAACTACTTCATGGGTGATACGTGGAAGATCAAGGTCCTCCAGAACACCCGGGTCATCTCGACGGTGAAGGAATCGCTCTTCGTCAACAATGTCATTCTGAAAGCTTCCACCTACGAAGACCAGGCGGTGGTATCGTTCGACTGCGAGGGCATCAATTTGGGAGTCCGGGGCCAGATCACCATGATCCAGCTGGGAACGACCCGGGGAGAGGCGTTCATTTTCGATGTGGCGTCCTGCCCGGATATGGTTCCGCACGGTGGAATCAAGGAGGTGCTCGAATCGGAGAAGGTCATCAAGGTGATACATGACTGCCGGAACGATTCGGTCAATCTGTACAACCAGTTCCAGATACTGCTGAAGAATGTGTTCGACACGCAGGTGAGTTTGTGCTGTACTAAGATTTGTTTTGATCGTTCATTAGGTACCCTGAATTTTCGAGAAAGCGAGACAGTTGACAACTTGCCGTTGTAAACCGGATTTCATTCTCTGCTTGGTGAGAAGAAGGACAAGGGACAAGCTTGGTAAACGAACGTCAGTGCTTTGTTGTGAAGTACTGAGCCCGGTGGCATTGAAGCGACCCTTTTTGCTTACTGAGCAGAAGATCGTTCAATCTCAGGCTCCTTTGTACAGAGTCCTCTAAGTCCTATGAACCTGCCCTCATCTAAGAGATACATTCCCAGCTGAAAAAAACTGTTTTCCAACCATAACAGATATTTTATTTTTTGTTTGCGTTCTCCATTTCAGTCCGCCCACGCTGTCCTCCAGTTCCAAGACCAGGGCAAGCAGGTCTACAAAGTGAAGAACGTTTCGCTTAACACCCTGTGTGAGATGTACAATGCCACCGTCAATCCTATGAAGGACCAACTCAAGAACGTATACCGCCGGGATCAGAAGTACTGGGCCCGACGGCCGCTGACGCGTGACATGCTTCTATACGCCGCCGGTGATGTGCTGATACTGATCAACGAACAGCTGTACCTCAACATGGCTACGTGAGTATTGAAGAATTCTCATTTTAGTCTCCCTCTCTAGCCTCTAAATGGTGGAATTTTCCCGAACAGATCAATCAAACCGGAGTTCCGAGAGCTGCTCGCGGAACTGTGCACTGAGCAGATTTTGATGCTAATCCGCCCAGTGGACGTCAAGATGCGCAAGAAGCAACGGAAGGTCCGTTCGGAGATCCAGGACCTCAAGGTGAAGCTGAAGGGTGCCAGTAAGAACGTGGTGCTGAGTAATCGCGAGATACGATTACTGAGGTAAGCTTGTCGATGAAATATTTCAATTTTCCGTACTCAAAAATCATTCCCCAGATACATGGACCTGACCGAGGATGAGAAGGAGAAACTGCGCGTTTCATACAAGGTGGCCAAAAAGCTGGACAAACTGGAGAACTTTGACCGGGACCGTGGCGATGCGAGCGATTCCGAGGACGAGTGCGACGTCATCGAGCAGGACTACCAGAGCTTGGACAGTGTTCCGTCGGATAACTCGCTGCCAGGCACGGGAAGCAGTGGTGGGCCGGGAACTTTCTCGCCCAAGAGTTCGGAACCGCCGAGCTTGACCGAATCGATGCAGCTGATGGACGAAATCCTCTCCAACACGACCATGGACCGGATGGCCCGGATCGACAAGCTGGAAGCGATTCTGTCCGCTGCGACCCTGCTGCCGAACGATCAGGTGAGTGTCGTGCGTGTGGTTTTGCTTTATTATTATTATACGGTTGGAGGCTGGATCGGATTGGCTCTGATAGTTATTGGTACCGCACTGATATCCTGATTTGAATTTTCACCGTGCACCTATACACTGTTGTTGTACTGCTTTGAGTTCTTGCACTAATAGAACAACTCACGGGTTTATTTTATGTCCAGGGTTGTAGTTTGTGATGGTGATGGGAGTTTCTGTACTCGGTCGGTATCTATGTAGATTATAAAATCGCAGAAATGTGTAACATACTTTGCAGTCTTTGTTTATGGAAATGTGATTTTTTTTTTTTTTTTTTGAATAACCAAGGGCTTGGAAGCAATAAAATACGCGATCAAATTTACTTTAACCTTACCATTTCGACTAGAGTTGCTAGAAAATATTTAATAACAAAGTTCAAAAATATGCAGTTTTTAGGGACAACTCGTAAATTACGACTGCAGATTAAGTATGACATTTCCCGATCAACCATTCCCAGGAATATCATTTCCCGGAATAGACCTTTTCCCGGTTGTCATTGAAAAAATGTAAATCTCTATTTATTTAGCCATTTAAAATCGATACAGAAATAACCAGTTTTTTCAATAACACAATTTTAATTCATTTGGGCTATGCAAATAGTGAGACGAGTAAGTTAACCTCAGAAGACTTACTATTTTATAATAGCTGAATAAAACATTAATTCATACATGCTACTGAGCTGAATGTTTAACAACAGAACGATTTTTTTTTTGCTACATAAAATTTACGATCCTGTTACACTTGCCCAAATGTATCTATTATATTTCATCGAATGTACCTATTTTTTTTTCTTTAATTTGTATTCCGTCGATCTTGTTTTCCGTGCTGAGCACCAATGCTACCGGCGCCATGGAAGGCAGCTCCCACACCTGGACCTATCGATCCATAAACTCATGAATCGGGGACCAACGGCTTTACTTCCCTTTAGTTATAGTAAAATTTTATCATAAGTCGAAGTGCCTTTTGAATTCCACTTTGTACTGATAAGTGCTTTTTTAATGGACTATGAAAGACCAGTTCATGATTAAATGAATGGGAATCTTCACTGAGCGTTCATAAGGGCCTAAATCGCAAACGTAAACAACGGCTTGTTCCGCAAATTTCTGGTAATTCAAAGCCCAGCTATCTGGTGCCTTACCCAATCCTATCGAATAGAGGAACTCTTCCTCTACATAATAATCCTGCTTGGGCGAGTTTTCATTATTTTTACGTTTACGACTTCGGTACTTATGAAAACTCTTGGGAGAAATAAGAATTATTGCAGGGTGGCCACTGAACCGGGAATTGAGGGCAATCGTCTAAAATTTTTGAAATTTTTCCATAGTTCAAGATTGTGATGATTTTTTTAAGTGACTGAATGTGTATGTTATTTTTTAAGATTATGATTAAAAAAATAAGTTTAATTATGTTTCATTAAATCAAATTGTTTCTATCAAACCGGGAAAACTATCATGGATAACCGGGAAAAACCGAGAATGAACCATTAAGTCAATGCTATTTTTCACACAGACAAGATCGACGGAAAACAAAATAAAGGAAAAACAAACTTTTTTAGCGTGAATTTATTTCACGATTGATCATTCTTTGCTTCCTGACGATTAATCGTCTTTCTCTATCTACAGGGTGTCTACTTATTTTTCTAAATAAAATTACATGAGATTTTTAAACAAGTAAGTCCATGATCTAAAATATTCAATGGCTTGAATTTTCGTATTACAAGTTCAAGATATTGAAAATGTTCAATGTGCCAGATTTAAGGAAAAAATAAATGATTTATTTTAAGTCTGTAAACTTTATGAAAGATTAGAGTTCTTCATAGCAGTCCCATTAACTTCACAACAATTCTAGGAAGTTTGGAGATGTTCTGTGGAATGAAAGGAAATGCTGAGTATTTCAGTGAAGCTCCATAAACAAACTGCGGGAACATAAGATAAATTAACACACTGAAAATATAAGGAACTTACTGGAAGCTTTAGGAACCTCAAAGCGGTTCTTTTAGCATCTGAAAATTTTCAGGAACTTTTATGTAGTTCCTAGAATTTCTTCACAGGTGTCAAGCGAACTTGAGAAATATAGAAAACTTGAGGGATATTTTGCAAGTTCTTAGCACCTCAGAAAAGCTAGGTCTAAAGATCTTTGGCAGGGCTGGTAGCGAGTCACTTTTTTCAAGCCAGTCACTAAAAAGTCTCTTTTTTTAAGGCCAAGTCACTAAAGTCACCTTTTCTTGTAATAAGTCACTATTTTAAACTTTTTTTTTAACGTGAATTTATTTCAAGATTGATCATTCTTCTCGATAAGCCTACATTTTGTTCTAGTTTTGAGCAATTAGAAGTTGAAGGTATAGAGTTTTTTTTTTACATTTAATCGTTCTTCTCTATCTACAGGGTGTCCAATCATTTGGCTAAATAAAGTTCCCTGAGTTTTTAAGGTTTTTCCATAACTTTGGCGGATAATTTCCAGGTTTATAATAAGAATGCTATTTATGATATACGTTAAAAATAGGTGTTTGACGCAAACGTGTTTAAGACATGACAATCAGTTTTAAAGAAACAGCCTTACTATCAAATCCATTAAATGTTGAAGTTAAACACTTACTTCATTTTAGTAAGCCTAAGATCACAACATTTTTAATGTCTTGACGTTTCGTACTAACAAAATTAAGGAAACTTTAATGAAGTTCTATTGATCTCTGAAAACCTAGATCTAGAAATCTTTGGGGAATTCCAGAGATCTTAAGGGGAAGTCCCCGAAACTTTAGCCCAGACTATTGATTTAGTTTAAAAATCTATAAGCGTGAATTTAGACCAATTCAGGATAGTTCCATGAGGTGCTGAAATAGAACCCATAAGATGTTCCGAAAGATTCAGTACAGAGACTTTCAGAAAATTTATGAAAACTTCAGAAATATTTCAGGAACTTCACAGAAATTCAGATAATTCCAGGGAAGTCTAAAGGTGTTGACGAGAGTTCCATTTATTTTAAAGCAGAACCAAGATCTTCATTAGAGTTGAGAGTTTAAAGGAAGCTCAGAGAACATCAAGACAGATCAGAGTATTAAAGGGCAGTTCAAAAAATTTCAAGGTAATTGCAGAAACTGGAATTTCCAGAAATTTTGGTTTACTAAGAGAAAAATTCTGGAACGCAATAACAATTGTATGAACATCCGCAAAATGTCAGAGTATTTCAAGGGTGTTATATCATGGAAATTTCAAGCCCTAAAAAATCGAAAATTTAGCTAAGTTGATTAGAGAACATCAACGAAGTTCCATTAAATAAAAAAGGCGAAAACTTTTAGCAAGCATCGACATTTTTAAGAAATTCCAGTGAACTTCTAGAAAATAAGATATTTTTAGATTGTTTCATTATATTCAGTGAAGTTCCAAGTACTTCGAGGACGATCGGATAACATCAGAAAAATAGCATCAACTTAAGGAAATTTGCAGCGACTTACAAGGAGTTCCTTAGAATTATGGGATATTCCGAGAATTGTATGATTGATCCGAAAATTATAAATATATATCAGAAAATTTACCGGAACATTTGATCAATTCAGAGAAATTAAGGTAAGCATACAAAACTTCTTCCAGGGAAATTAGTAATTTACGGCAAAGTTCCGTAGGCGTTTATAAACTTTATAAAACTTAAAGATAATTGTAGAACTTAAAGGCAATTAAATCAATTCCAGTAAAATAGTGGGTTCTTTAAAAAAAAATACGAAGGCAATACTGTGTAGAGAATTTAAAGGAAATTGAGAAATATTTTGGGCAGTTTTAAAAACATCAGGAAACTCTAGGCTAATGAAGAAGTTATGAATTAGTTTCGATAATTTGATCTTCAGACAAATCTTGATAACTTGAGTGAAAATCCTAGAACTATATTAATTATTTCACTGCGGAAGCCTAAAGAAGTTCCAGAAATTCCAGAATTACTTCGAAAACTTCATAGAAGTACAGAGATTTTCAGAAACATTTCGAGAACTTCATAAAAGTCTATGGAATTTAAGGAAAGATCCGAGAACTTCAGGAACTTTTATGGACATTTCGGGAGTATCTCAAATAAGTAAAGCTCCAAAAGCAAATGGAATTTCAGGGGAGTTCAGTTCCATTAGTTTCACTAAATAAGCGGGAAATTTCAAGAAGTTCCTAAATTTTCAGAGAACTTAAGAGATGTTAAGAAAATTATTGAGGTTTTCACATATGTCCAGAAGAGCACGCAAGCTTAAACATTTTTAGAACAGTTCAATTTAATTCATGGTAGTACAATAAGCTTCATAAGAACTGCAAACACTTATGAAAAGTTTCGAGAACTTCGAGAAAGATATTGATCTAGCTAATAAAGCTCTAAACAACAACGAAACTTCAAGAAAGAACAGATATCCTCAGAACAGGGAAATTACATAAATTTTAAAAAAAGTTTCGAAAAATTCAGTGAATTGTAAACACTTTGGAGAAGATTCATGGCCGTTAGGAAAATTGTGGAAACTTTAGGAAGTCTGAAAAAGTTTAGAGAAGTTTAAAAAAATGATGAGAAGTATTGCGAGCATCAGGTTAGATTCTCAAACTACAAAAGAACTTCAAGGCAGTTTAATTAACTTTAGGAATATTTTGGGAGCTTTCAAGTAGTTATGAAGTCCTCAGAATAGTCCATTCCATATTCAACGGACATTTTTCATGAAAATTCGCTTAGAGTTTACTATCTTAGGCTTAGGCTTCACATGAAGTCTAAAATTCCTCCGAAGTACCATGATCAGATTGCAGTTGATTTTTTCATCATGGACTTTTTCCTCAAAACTCCCGTGCAATGAGGTCCTTAGAAATTATAATAAAATTCTATGAACCTTAAAACTGTGCAAGGAATTTGACTCCAGATTCTTAAAAATTTCGTAAATTATTGTAACTTTTCAGTTCAGAATTAATAAAATTTGTAGAACATATGCATTATTTTAGAACCAAAAA